GCCAGGTCGGATGGTGTTGTGGGCAACCTGGGCTAGTGGAGGGTGTCCCTGCCCATGGCAGGGGGGTTGGAATTAGAAGAGCTTCAAGGTCCCTCCCAGCACAAACCATTCTGTGGTTCTATGATTAACAGCTTTGCTACTGAAGCTCTTCCCCTAAAAGAACTTATTAGATTGACATGTGGGAATATACCTACCCAGATGTATTAAGTTTACAAAATTAGTAAGTATGTGAATACTGGGGCTTGCTCCCAAGTACCTTGATTGCAGCTTGCAACCTGGAAACTTGGATGACTGCAAACACACCAGTACCACACAAACAGATCCTGAAAACCTGAAGAATATTTTCCATACACAGCCTTGAGAAAACTGAGCAGAGAATAACTTGATTTAAAAATCTAATGTATTGAAAGAAGTAACATAATGCAGTAGAGCCACAGAAATTTACTAGCTGTTTTACACAGCAGTTTTTAACATCTTACTGACACTTCAAAGTACAACCAGAATATATCAAACAGTGGAGGAGAAAAAGCTAACACCTTTGATAACATCTTTTTTCTTTTTTTTTTTTCTTCCCAGGAGACTCACTCTACATCCAAAACCTCAGGAGTGTTATGTCTGTTTTCATGACTCAGTCACAGAAGCTGCTGTTGAACTAGCCTTTAAACTGTCCTTTGGCTTAGCTACATAGACGAGCTTCCTGAACATTCAGCCATCCTGCGGGGGGTTGTCATCTCTTTTCAAGTACTTCAATATAAAGAGAAATTAATGCAATTGTAGTGCCTACCCATGGTGTATCTTTGAAATGCTTTTAAAAAAAAAATCTACCTTGTGGTAATGACACAGGTAAAACTGCAGTGATGATTCTAATGATCTCATCAAATGAATACTTGAGATTTCAGAGAACCAAAGTTCTTATTTTTATATACTGCTGAATTATTTATCCTGATCATAACTTTATTATATGAAAACATCACATAATTTGTACATTCACTGCTGTTCAGTATATAATATGCAATGTAAAATGATAAGCTGATATTCTCAGAGTACTCTCTGAATGTCTGGCAATTGGTGACAGAGGAAAAAAACATTTTCCAAGTAATTGACAAGATGTTACTGAAAACATTCAGTATTTTTCATGCCCTTAGAGGCACAAAATTTTAATCAAAACAGAAGGAAATCTTTCAGCCAATTCATGGCACTTAGCCACACAAACCTAATAGCTTATCATTTTTGCTATCTACACACTTGAGCACTATAGTGTGGCTGATGTTTTACTTGACTTAATGAGTTTTACTATAAATAATACTTATATTTGTTAAAGTACAATTTTGAAGGCACAAAAGATGATGGGGGGTGGGAGGGGGTGATTTTAAGACCTATGCATGGACTTGGCTAATTTTATATTCATAATTTCATAATAAAACATGTATATTTGGCAAAGACCAGTAAAGCATTATTCTACTTTTTTTTAATTAACATGTTTTCTCTTTTGTTTATTTAAACAGTATTTGTTTAGCTAGGTCTTCTGCAATTTACAGCTGGATATTACAAAAAGTTAGGTTACATCCAGATAAGGCAAGAGAAGGCAAGATGTTTGCAAAATCAGAATTCTTCTACAAAATTCAGCTGTCCTACAAATTGTTTAAATATTTGTAATCTACAGACCAGATGCTCCTACAGCTTTTTTTACTCAAGCTTAGTTTAAAATGTAAGATTTTTGGGGGGTCTTTTTACCCACAGCCAGCACACTTAAATCTGGTCATCTGCATAGCATTTCATCATATCAACAGTGCCTTTTATTTTTCTTTCTGCTGTTTCTACTTGCTTTTTACAAGTGGCTTCCATAAAACGCATGACTCAAGTTGCATTTTAAACAATGGGATCAAAAAGTTCAAGTATTCAGGAAAGTAAATTCAGTTCCATAGGGTCTCACAATCAAATCTTTAGATCTTGTTTTCACTAGTAAATTACACTGTTTAGAGTAGTTCTAAAATAGTCAATCAAATGTTTATAACTGCCCACTCTCACAGAGTGATTCACAGCTTGTCTTCAATTACTCAACAGTTGCTTTAATTCCAAGCAGAAGTCGTCTTAGGCTTGAAGTTTAAGCATATGATTGCAGGTTTTGTTAATCTAGAATTTTGTTAATATCTAGAATTTATGGTTCCTAGAAGATGAGAGACAGTATTTCAATTTGAGACATACAAAACTGAGTTATGTTAATAGTGCTTTAGATTTGTTCCCTGTCAATTAAGTGATGTGAGATTTAATCTGTTTGAAAAATACAAATACGTAATAGTATGGATGACATCTGAACAGCACCTTTTAAAAGTCTAGAATATGTGAGGTTTGAATATTTGATTTCATTGCAGATGAAAGAACAAGCAGTCTTTGCTGCACTGCTTTTAGCAGGTTTAACAGCTTTCACAGAACTTGTGTATGTGTGTGTGTGCATGTAAGCCTGGATCTGTATGGAAAAGGGTAATTTTACTAATGTTTGTGTTGGTTTCGTCTTTTAAAGGCTGGGCTACATGGTCTGAATGCTAAAAAAGAAGATATTTGAATACTTTAAGAGGAGGACAGCTAACTTTTCTCTAGATCCTTGTGTTTAGTCATACCTAGGTTACTCTGCTGCCAGTGTAGTGGGTTGAACTCAGCTGGGCCCTGCACACAGCTGAGTCAATGCAGAAAAAACACTGAATATGTAGATGCATGTAGAAAAAAAAGAACCTGAAGGAAGGTGGGACTCCTTTGGTACCAGTCAGATATTTAAATTGTCTCACTCCTCCACAAGAAACTGTACCTTTAAACAGAATTAAGGGCATCTGAGTGGTACAATTTTTATACTCAAACCAGTGTAGTTGAGCAACAAAATGTTGTAAAATTTGCATTGATCGTGCTGATGCTACATTTAAGGATTTTTTTTCTTGGTGACTGTGTTAGTCAACTGAGCACAGTCTGTATTTTGTGGATTCTTTTTTTTTAAGAGTATGTTTATGTTTAAAAAGACCCCCAAAGGATGATAGGATTTCATTTCCTACAGAACAGAGATTTTTATCAGGTATCTTGGATACAAGTATTTTAGCTGTGTAACTCCCAGGAAGTTTATAGCTGTTAATCAGTGTATAGAATTAATGTTAAAGGTAATAGATAGAAGCTACTAAAGGTGTTAAAACAGTATTGTGGCTCAAAAGAAATTAATTTTTCAGTCATAAAAATTAAGAGCAACGTGGTGTACAACAACTCAATGGGTTAAAATCACTAATTTCAAGGGAATGCAAGAAACCAAAGTTACCATTTAAAACCACTGACAACTAAAAATATTTTGACTGATCAAATATGGTGTTTCATGCCTTCATTAGTCATAAAGTCAGGAGATGTAGGGGAGGTAAAGTGATTTTAAAAAAAACAAACAGCTATCAGCAGTCTAGAAGGAATTGGTACCTCTGACCTGCAATGGAACAGGTGTAATTAACATGATTAAAATTAACTTGTCATGTATAACGTTTATTAACTCATAAATCAGTGTGATGAACGGATACCCTTTGTTACCTGGTTCTCTATTCTCTAGTTGCTGGCAGGGGCAGCAGAGCCAGTTTTCAGAGGCGCCCAAAAGGTCTTG